CACATTACGTTACACTAGCTTTCCAAACAAATTGAAAGAATGAAAGAGCTGCTAGTGCCAGTAAGTTACATCACTGTAACATAAGAAATGTGATACTCTGTTTAAATTCAAAATATTATCCTTATTGTGATCTTAATCTCCATATTACAAACAATCAGTATGCACTGATTGTTTGACATGTATGTCCATTTTTAAAATTTATATGACAGTAAAAATATCGCACCTTTGTGAAACAGATATCATTTTTTGAACATCACGCCTTTGATTGTGGTTCGTGCATCGGTCCAAGCAAAATGAGTCATTGACAAATCCTCCAGTAGATGTGTGTTTCAGATAATTATTTTATTTTTTGTTTAAATTAACCGCCTTTTCAGATTAGTTATCCCACATGCAGAATTGCTTAATTAAGTAGTCTCTGCGATGCCACCAAAAAACCATGCTTTTGAGAGGAAAATTAATTTTGTCTAGTCTAGTTGCAAATTAACTACCTCTGTGTAATAAATTAAATAAGAAATTGTTTAGTACAGTGCAACTTCTAAGTCTGTACAACTAGTTAACGAAAGCTGCCTGTAAGCTGTCTGAGTACTGTAAGCATGTATCGAAAGAAATGTAGTTTATGAGCCAATAAAAGTGTGTATTTTTTGTTTTTTTTTGGTTAGCTTTGACCCTGCGTCTAATTTAAGATTTTCTTAAACACATTTATAAAACAAATTGAATCTTCAAATGCCTGCTGCGACAGCATCTTGAAGTTGTATTCTTTATTTACGTTGAAGGCACCTTTCAATTTCCACTTGTTACGTTTATCTGACTAAGTATCTTATTATGAGCACAAAAACTTATTTTTGCTATAATAAAAAAGTGAAATCTGAATCGTTTGTTATAATACTTACCTTACAAATATCTGCTGCTTCTTCTTAGCTTTCTAATTAATTCCATTAATATGCGTTCGTAATTTAAATTTCATGCTAATTTTTCCACTAATACATCAGCCTACTACTTGAGTCTACACGATTGTATTATTCAATACAGTCCAATGAGTAAAGACGTTAAGAAAATCATGTAAAGCTATAAAAGCTATGCGCTTGGCCCTACCAACGTTATTTGTCTTTCAACTGTCAAAAAGAAAGGTCCAAGCAGCAGCTAGAGCAAAAAAGAAAAAAAAGAGTGCAAGCGAAGACAAAAAGAGTGGGATAATAAAATCTGAGTCGGTAAAAAAAAAACCAGAAAAAAAATTTATCAAAAAAGATAAGAAAAACTGTTAAATCATTTAATCGGCATGTCGCATGAACCAATAAAATGCAAATTTACCGGAAACTTGAAGTATCAAAAACTTTCTACCAAGGATAATGATGAGAAAAAATCTTGACTCCTTATCTTAACAGAAAACTTTTCACGTAATAAATTATCGTTTCCTCAACATGATGGTTATAAGCGATTTTAATTGACAGGTTACATAATTAATATCATGATGGTGAGGTGTAAGGCTATAAAGACTAATGCATAATTTTGCTACCATCATTTATCTATTTACTGTCATGGGACATGGTCAGAGCGCAGAAAAAAAAGAGTTCAATAGAAAATACAAAGAGTGTGAGAATTTCATCGACAGCTTTGTTAAGTGGACTGAACAGGGGAAAAACAAATCAGAAAAAAGTAATAAAAAAAATGATCCATTGTGGTAGGAAAGTATTTAAAAGTAAGATAGTGTTGATGTCTTCACTTTAGTTACACGAACCTAACGCAGACTCAATACGATAATTTTCTTTTCACTCAACGCAACCACGCTCTGCTACCAAATTATGTTGACGTCTCCACTAATTTATTTATTAGTGAACGAGACGGTGTTATGACAAATAACTTTGGTTGCGTGAAGGGATAAATAAAACAAAGAATCAGAAAGTATAATAAAGTGACGGTAACAACTTATTTATGACTTGAACAATTAGTACTTTCTTTTCTCTTGAATCAGTTAGAAATAACAATACAACGTGCTTGGCCCCTTACTTCCTCAATTCACTTTTACTATAAATAAGGTTAAAATACCTGTTTCGAATTGGCTTTCTGTTTTCTTTTTCGCCTGTAAACTATGTATATACGACAGTGACGATTTGCTTCAATGTGCTGGCGCGTGGCTCTTGTGCTTCTCGATGTGGCCGACGGCTTGATTTGGCGATGATCAACGGCGTCGAACGATAAGATGCAGTGACTTCAGAACGAAGAGTTCCTTGGCTGGTGTCAAGCTCGTCGAGATGCAATTTGAACTTGAAGGAAAAGACTGTCTCGCCAAGACGAAGATAATGCTCCGATGAACACTGTATAGACGAAGCACCAAGAGCAGCCAGGCCGCACATCTGCTTGCTTCACTGGCCCATACTGAACTAGACTGTCACTGTCTCACCACGTAAAACTATGCCCTGATATCTCTCTTATTTTTTCTACCACTGGCAATATTTCGACAAGCCGAGAAACCATCCACTCAATACACTGAGCGACACCCATACACACACATTAATTCTTACCTCTTCCCACAATACAACAAGGACGCAAAATAATCAAGATAAACATCACACACATCCCAACACACCGCCCACCTTGGTGCGACCAAGCAATAATTAATAAAATTAAATCTTCTTGTTTGGATAAAAGGCTACGATTAAAAAATCATTCGAAAATTCAATGTGAATATGCGAATTATATAATGCATAAAAATATATTTAATTAAACAAAATTGTACATCGTAAGGATAAACTCATCAATATATAATTTATTATCATGAACCGAGCTTAAAATAACTTTAATTATAACAATGAATCTCAACTCTCAACTGCAATGAAAGTCAAATAATTACTGAGAAAATGAGTATATTTATACAAGATTACTTTAAAAAATTAAAATCTCTTATAAGTAAATTAGCACACATAATTCTCTATTATAATGTTTAATCCTAATTTCCATTTTTTTAGAAAAACATTACTACTCACTCATTGCTCTTGTTTTAAAACTCTATATAGTACAATTTAAAGCGCACACGACTAATTTCTCAGATTCAGTCACTTACACGACCGACAAGAAGTCAACACGACAAAAAAGGAAGAACACTCTCATTAATCCATCCTTATCTAGAAAATGGTGATAAACGTAACGAGCACGAGTTGGTTAGGAGGGAGCGATTTTTAAAAAGGCAATTTATTTTCTGAGCAAAAGAATGACGCTAGCAATACGGGAAATTGCCGCTCAGGCCACTCGCCAAGACAATGCCATAAAAAGTTACCATTTTTTCCATGGACACTAACCTTACTACGCCAACGAAATAACAAAGCAACAACTCTCCTCACAGTTAACCATATTAACAACCATAGAGACTACACAATTTACTACTGCACAATATGCTCTTTGCAACGCATCACAAAAGCCATGCAGACTCCAGTCATCAGACACTGAAACCCCCAGTGGACGAGCAATCCTAATCTCACTTGAGAATGTCAACGAAGAAGGAAAACTCGACCAGCAAGACCTTACCTCGCCAGTAAGCTCCTTACCTCAATCCAGCTTTTCAAACCATAAGTCCAGCATGAGAATTTTAGAAACGATGATCACAGGAGCTAAAAATCCAAGAGGATCATATAATCGAGCCATCTTCGACATAACGACCCTCTTAGTCACCCGTGTTGATGATTCGGAGAGCTCTAACCCAAAGAGAAATTCATCTACGCGAGGAGTCCACATTAATCCCAGCGTTGAGACCGTTTTTTCTTGCTCAACTAGAACCTCAGCCTCATAGATCCTCTCTAAACCATCAAGTTACTCCTTTGTATGAGAGGCCAGATGTGAATTGCCAAAAATTGCGCAGGAGTAGTGCCGTACATGACTGTCAGCAACGGGAAGGGCTTTATCTCCAGAGGATGTGCTGCCACTTACGATCCTCAGCATGCGCGAGAATCTGACGAAACATCTTAACGATGTCCGTTAAAAACACACATCGATAAAAACGCCAACCAATTATCGAAGCAGAAATATCAACCTACAATTTGGGTCCCGAGTAAAGAAGATCATTAAGTAAACGACCATTGGCATACTTCTGGGAAGCGTTGGAGATAACTCTAATCTTACGAGTAGGGTCATTACAAAAAACTGTAGAATGAGGTAAGTAACATTGAGCTAGTTTCATCTCTAGTGAAGGCATTGTCATTAACTGATCTAATTCCTTATACTTAATCATAAATTTGGCTTAGGCAGCCTCAAGTTACTTAGATTTTGACCTACACTTCTCCAAATGCGTCAAACATGCGAAAGAAATTTCTTTGGAATTGCATAACGAATCACGAGAACGAATAGATTAATGAACAACAAAACGACCTGAACTATCACGAGTAGTAGTTTCCCTGAAGTAGTTTTTGCAATATTCATCTTCAGTTGACAATATGGACTTGCAAGGAACCTCCTTAATCTCCCAAAATTTAGAAATCAGAAATTTCAATCGATCAATGACTTAAACGTGACAAGCTTGAGTAGACGATAACTGCTTAGTGAGATTCGGAACAGACCCGATCAGAACCTACCCAAAGGCAGTGAGCTGAGGTACAGGAGAATCAGAAGGCCCGTTTCGAAGCCTTTCTTGGAGAATGTCAGCATACACATAAGTGCCTAGAATCGCGTTGATACTATCAGGCAGTGAATACCTTTCATCCGTCAAATGCAGACCACTCAAATATTGACTATTCAGTATCTCCACCATTCTTGAGGGAAGCAAGCTAGATAATTTGATTAATACAGTAAACTGACATTTAATTGAAAAATTGGGGTCGAATCCCAAAGCCAATACTGTAGAAGCTTCCTTTGAAGCCTGTGTGCGAATTGCCGAGCCTACTCCAGAAATCGATATCAAAACCGTACGATAAGGGAGCAACAAACACGAAGCAATGCGATCAGACAAAAATGACCGCTTAGCAGTAGGGTTAATGAGCGCTCGAGTTATTGACGACTCACCATCCTGATTACGAATGGTTATACTGGCAGTGACCAACAGCACCCAACTTCCAATGGACGTGGTAAAACGAGGGCAGATCCATCTGAATAAACTGTCTCCCCACCAAGTGCCGAGCTCGATGGACCTGTCTGAGCCTGATGGGCCGCAGTCTCCGAAGAAACATGTCCCGAGTCAGCTCAGCCCTGCATGTGTCGTAAGTAGTGTTAACGTTTTCCGCTATGATTACAACTCCGCTTCAAGAGACAGTTGGCCATGCGGTGACCCTTAACTAGGCACGTTAAACAAAGCTGTGTTTTTTTACAAAACTTAAAACACAATGGTAAATCTAATACTCGAAGCTCATTACACATATATAAATTACGATTATTTTTACAGCATACACATAATGCATTAGAATGTTTACGACCTATATGAGTGACAATAGCCCAAGAGTATGGTTTTCCTGTAGAAGTTGCACATGGTTGACTTTGCGCACGCGATTCAATTTGAGGCCTTGACTGAGAGTGGTCTATAGATCGAATTGTACGCTATAGAAATGAAATTTATTTTGTATAGTTCGAAAATTCTTTTCGGTTTTCCTGTGACACGTTCCAGGACTCTTTCGTATCTGAATCGAGCTTACGAACCACACAATAAACTACAAAATGGTTACACTGATCAATAAGCCAGTCTTAATCAACGAGAGCCTGCACAGTTTCCTCAGCAAAATGAACTACCCTTTAAAGATCTTCAACATTACGAACGCGAACTTCAGGCAACTAAATCAACCTCTCCAAATGAGTAGCAAGATGAAGTGGCCTATTATCATAACGCTTCAGCAAGCACTCTCATGCGACATCATAATTAGCCTCGATGACTGTCAGATCCTTTAATCGTTGGACGACAGCGCCTTGCACTGAATTTAACAAATGCAGTAATTTTGCAACGCCCGAAATACGTGACTGAACCCTTCTAGCAGCCTCGAAGCGCTGCTTAAAATTCTCCCAATCCTCTTGGTAACCAGAAAATGTGGGTAACAACAATGCTGGCAACGCAGAATTTACCGTATTGCTCGAAAGTACTGGAGCATTACTCATTGGAACCGATGAACAGTGTTAAGCAATTTAATTTTTGCCTCTGTAGTAGCACGTGGCTCAATATATGCGGACTCTACGTACGAATAAAAGTCCTTTTTGAATTTATGATTTTCGAGAAGTGATTCATCGTCTTATATGGCATAATGTTCTATAACAAACGTTGACCAATACTGCTCCAACAATCTAACTTAAGATTCAAAATATTTAATAGTTTGTTTAGCAGTACTGACCTTCTCAAATGTGTTGCACGAAAAATTCAAAATTAAATTTACCCACTTCACTTGCTTAGTCATTTCCTTTTCAGCCACTGTGCTATTCAATAATATTTTTGAGTCTCAGAAATGCAAAAGAATTGACATTAAAACAACTATTTCAAGTTAAACAAATGTTAAATAAACGTGCTCGAAATACAACAATATGTACAGCGCAAGTACAACGCAAGAGTCAAAGTTGCAAGTCGAAGAACGATATCAACACAGGACACAATTATTTCAAATTTAGCGTATGCCATGAGAAAGGAAGTGATAGAATACAACGATATGTATAACGCAAATATAAGCGAAACGACAACAAATACGTAAACTTCGGTTGAGCCAGCAGATATACGTAGCTATTTAACATAGTCAACGAACTCCTATCAGTTCACAATAGTAGTTGACCTTGGCTAGGTGGAAGCCTCATATTGACAAGTTCTCCGTCGTCAAAATGTAAACACGCTGTAGATATGACGGCGATGTCAAATATGACTGATCGGTCTCGCCTCCCATCTTTGTTGTGAAACAGTGTTTGATTTTTATGTCGTGTAAGCCAAAGGTTGACAAGACGACTTCTCTCAACGCAACAGCAAACGAACGAAGAAGCAATCAATGGCGTCCAGCGATCCAAAGTACCTGCTGTTTTGAATTCTACTTTAGTTACACGAACCTAACGCAGACTCAATACGATGATTTTCTTTTCCTTCAACACAACCACGTTCTTCTAATAAATTATGTTGACGTCTCCACTTATTAATTTATAAGTAAACGAGATGGAGCAACGACGAATAACTTTGGTTGCGTGCAAGAATAAATAAAACAAAGAATCAGAAAGTACAATGAACTAACTGTAACAATTTATGGATGACTTGAACAATTAGTACTTTCTTTTCTCTTGAATCAGTTAAAAATAACAAAACAATGTGCTTGACCGCTCGCTTTCTTAATTCACACTTACAATAAATAAGGTTAAAATACCTGTTTCAAATAGGCCTTATGTTTTCTTTTTCCTTTCTAAACTATCTACATACAACAGTGACGATTTCCTTCAATGTGCTGGCACGCAGCTCTTGTGTTTCTCGATGTGGCCGATGGCTTGACTCGGTGATGATCAACGGCGTCTAACGATAAGATGCAGCGACTTCAGAACGAAGAGTTCCTCGGCTGGTGTCAAGCTCGTCAAGATGCAGTCCAACCTTGAAGGAAAAGACTGTCTTGCCAAGACGAAGATGATGCTCTGATGAGCACTGTATATGCCAAGCACCAAGAGCAGCCAGGCCGCACATCTGCTTGCTTCACTGGCCCATACTGAACTAGACTGTCGCTGCCTCACCACGTAAAACTATGCCCTGGTATCTCTCTTATTTTTTCTACCACTGGCAATATTCCGACAAACCGAGAAACCATCCACTCAATACACTGAGCGACACCCATACACACACATACATTCGCACCTCTCCCTGCAACACAACAAGGACGCAAACTAATCAAGATAAACATTACACACATTCCTACAGGTAGTGAAAAAGTTACAAGTAATTAATTAACAAACTAGTAGGTATGGTATGATTTAAACAGGCTGTCAATAGTTAAGTTCTCAATGCAAGGAAAGTGCATGTGTTGGACCATTGAGATAACAATGGTTTCGGAGATTCAAATTCTAGTTTAACAATATTACAGATTTCAGCTATCCTCTGACTGATAAAATAAAACTGGCGGCTATTCGCCCCCATCGTAATAGGGCGTACAAAGCCAACTATGCACATCATAACTTTAGACTGTACAAAAAGTTTATCCTAGATTCACCTGAGTCCAAGGAATAGATGTTACCATTGCTTTTAGTAATTAATCGTTTTATTTAATATTTTTTAATTTACAAACGCCATCTGAAATTTAATAGGCAAACTAAGATATTTTTTTGCTACGCTTGTTTTGGGCAAGATTCAAGGGTTATACTTCACAGATAAGAAGGTCTGGTTGAGGCTCTTATCAATCGTGCTGCTAAGTCAACGTTCAAAATTTCATTAGATAACCGTACAGGTGTAAAAAAATTCATCTTTCATTTATTTTTAAGTCCCCTTAAAGTCATTAAGTAGTATTCATTAAGCTATCTTTCAGTTATTTTTAAGACAGTGACACATGTTGCTAAAGTCATTTTCAAGTAATCTTCAAGACATTCACCCTTTATGTAGATAAGTCAGTGCTGCACTATGCTACCATCTTTCGGACATATCTGTATTAGTACAGGTACCTTTTAACTCTCTAGTAATACAGTCAGTAGCGTACCTGTCTATTACTCTGGAGACAGAGATCCAAATCCCATTGAGGGCAAGAGAATCTTCATTCTAAAATTTATTTTCTGAATATCTCGATAAAATAAAAATAATTTTAAATTACGTTTAAAAATACGCGTTCATTTAAATCTAAAAAAATTATTTGTAAAAACATATTTTAAAACTTGCGCCTGTTCTGATGGTCCGACTTAATGTAAGGATATTGGGCTTGGGCACTATTTCAGCAGCCATGAGCACAAGAGCAGGGCGCGCACACGACTGGATACGTCAGCCGTAGGTCCTACGGGCACAAGAATGGGGTGAGAAAATGGGCGGATACGACGGTCATGGGCGCTACGAGCACAATAGAGGGACGAGCACACGAGAGTTCGCGGCAGCCATGGGGACAGTTTGTATTCGTAGCCTGTGGGGTGGGCTTGGAGTGAGGCCAGGCGGGAAGGTGGCCCCGTACTAGTATTAGTGGTGTGGCCTAGAACCCGCTTTGTTTACCTACCTACACACATTATTAGGTTACACGACTGTGATGTAAATAATTATTTGGCTTTTTAGTCGGAGATGAAAGGTTTTTTTTTAAGTTTCTTGACTATGACTGGTGGGTGAACATATTAAATTCTAATTTACTCTAAGATTTCAGCTCAGTTTATTAATAAATATTTACTAAAATAATTAAATACCACGTTAATTTTAATTACTTTTGACAACGCTTAGTCTGCATTTCTGGGATACAACTTATGCGTTTTGTATGAAAAATATGATTGATAATTTACAATGCAATATTTTTTATAATGACTGTGTTTAATGCGGAAGAAAGCAAATCGTCGTATTAAATGACTTAAGCTTTTAATTAATAACTTGCTGAACATACTTAATTTAATTACCGACGAGAACTAGTTAGTGTTTTCGTTCAGTAAACCTATATATCGTTTGAAATTAGAATGTTTTCTTAAAATTCTTCCAAAAAACCAAAGCTTCTTATTATAAGACTTCAAATATTTGTAGTAAAACTGACTTGCTAAAATTTAAAAGATTCTTATACAGTTTAAAACTATGATGGTACATAAACTAATTCTCTTGCTGCGAAAATCTTAAGTATTTATTGTAATTATAAAGCTCTTGTGTAGCTAAAAAATTTGCATGTACATCTTAAAATCGATTGAAAAATCTTGAGATCTTACCATCATACTGCATTATTTATTTTAAGATTAGAATTATGTTTTCTAGACAGTTTTCCTTGAAAATTATCCAAAATTTGAGGTACACTTTTTTCCAAAAAATACAGTTTCTCAAAATTTATTTCTATGATACCTTTATCATGATGTTTTTTTATTTGTGTAATTTTCTTACTTATGGACAAATGTTGTACAGTTGAGTTTCAAAGATCTAGAGTAAATAAATATATTAAGGAAGACACCCTTAAAGTAGAATAACAACATCGTAAAATATAAATAATACCTTAAAACTTTTGATATACGGTAGATCATTTATCTAAAGTTACAGTGTTAGTGTTTTTGGCATGTGCAATTTAGACAAGTATTAAAGCATATAGGTAAGTGGGAGAGGGTCATAGATATTATGGTATTTTTTTAAACAATACCCCTGCCTCTCTTAGAACTATCTTCTGAGTCGTGCATATCCAAAATATTGATAGCGAGATTTTAGATGTATGCTCCTTCATACATTGAGAATCTTAAAGTGTACTCCATGTTTTACGATATAGCCACATTGTACTTCCATTTTCAGAATCAATTTCGTTTCGTGTGGATCATATAATTACTTTTCTAGGGAGGAGACGTGATCCATTGCAATTGCGGTGACAGCTGCGAAACGCTAAATTTGTCGCTCTAGCATTTTTGATTAAGCATTGTTAACATCTAAGCAAGTATTTTACTATTGAAGATAACAGTTGATATTATAAACTCTCATTCTCTCATTTTCCTTTTCTCTCTCCCCTCTCCTCCCTACTCTTCTCTTTCTAGTAAAGGCTCGTTGATTACGCTTGTATTATTTTAAAGCTACTACTTTTTTTGGCCTGGCTTGCTTACTTATACCTTTGTCGGAGATTTTGTGAGGTATGCCACTACTCATAGCCTGGATGAGAATACATATGAAAATTGTATAATAAAAGAAAGCGATTATGTTAAAATACGATTAAACTTATTAAATAAGCACTGTTAATGTAATTGATAAAGTTTTTAGGATTGACAAAAGCTATACTTAAAATTATACTGTAATTCAACCATTCTACGTTTGATGTAATTATATACTTTATCCTGCTTTTCTCTATATAAATTACAGATAATTATTATTTAAGATATTAAAAAAGTTTTAATGTGTTAACTATGTTTTTGCCATACGGACTACATTTCCTTGGCTAAATAAATGGTGTTTCAAGCCAAGTCTATACACTACATTATGCTGTTAATCCGAAGGTCGTACGTTAATTTTTGTGACTCTAGAATCATATCAGAAAAAAGATATTTACTATTCTTCATATTATTTTAGACTGATAATCAATAAGCTTGTAGTTGGCTCATTTGACCAGTAGTCAGTGTTTTGAGAAAGTACAAAAAATCAGTTTGGTATTTTTATGATAAAGCAAACGCCGCGCGCCAGCTTGGTTTACACTTACTGTGTGTATAAACTCCCAGCTATCACATACATGTATTTCATACAGAAGAATATATATATTTCATACAGAAGAAAATTACAATTGCAACTCTCAAATTGTGCTACGATCTTATTCATGTTACTTGTTTTTCTAAAACCTACTATATATAAGGTTACTAGTTACTTGTTATGAAGTAAGAAATTTCTAGAGGAAAATAGCCAAACTTAATATTAAAATTTTTTTACATCTAAGGAAATAAATAGTTAACTAATTTTCTCAATTCTGCAATACGTACACACGCACACTTGGAGGACAAAAAACGACTTTGGTACTACTCCATCTCTTTTTTTCTGCATCTCTATCAATATTTAAACACTATGCCTTCAATACCACTCTTAATTTTTTCGCGTTTACTACCTATCTCGCAAAATTTCTTACCGTACTCTGCTCTCTCGTAGTCTTCACCAGTACTCTATATTCTAATGCCAATTTGTATGCTGTCACTGAAGTCTAAAGATCCAATGGAAGTAGTGAACACACTCAACTTATTAATATTAATTTAATATTAGGACACCTAAGACTTTTTTTCTATTCTATTTGCCAGCTATTTTAGCAATGCCTGCAAACCTCTAACGCACATCAGTTTGACTTTACATCATACTTTTAGTTACGACAAGCAATCTTATATTTTCTTTAAAAAAATAACGGAGACCCTACCAATACTGCCATTTAGGATAGTAATGCTATCTAAAGCATATTAAAATATCTTAAGCTAAAGTGGTGATTTTCTATGATAAGAAATACTTTTAAATGATAGCACATAAGCAAGAGTAATAATAATCTTTTATGAAACTAAAGACCAAGCGTATAGTTCTTAAAGTTAAACTAGTTTTAAATCAACATTGTCTAGGGTAATAAAAACAGGTATTTTTGTATAATCTGATGCATATTCAAACACTTATTATTTCGTTGTGTTATTATTATAAGAAATTGATCCAATAATAAATTCATCCCCGTTAAAAAAATTTGTAGCTTGCTACCACTCCACATCATGTTTAGCGGGTTCTCTAACACACGCTGGTTATATGTCTATTAGAGTACCGTAAACTATAAATCTAAACGAATAAACTAGTAAAGTTTCTATGGTTATGTTATTATTACAATGATAAAAGCATACAATTATAAAATATTAGAAGTTGTACGTTTATTTTAAATCGGTAAGAGAGCTAAAATGATCCTGTAAATATTACGTATAAGTAAGATGCACTCAATAATAATAAGATATGTTTAAAATTCTCATTTCAGGCAGTATATTCTCGTGTTGCAAGAGTTTGTAAATATGATAGAGGTGGGCCACACCGCTTTCGTAATAGATGGACATCTTTTTTAAAATCTCGTCTTAATTGTTCTCTGACTGGAGATTTTCCATTTTACTTCAATGAAATACGTAAGTTACATGAATAATTAGTTTTTTACTGAGTAGTACTCTGGTAGTTATAAATAACTAATTACCATCTTAAAAAAATATATTATTAAAAGTATACATGATGGACCACATGTATTTTGTCGTTACTCACTCAAAAATTTAAACATTACTCATTATTAAAAAACAAATGCATTTTTCAGAATATAATTATCAGTAATATATAGCTAGTACAGTCCACACAAATATAACTTTTTAAGATAGTTAGTTATGTAAGAGTATGATTTTTAGTAAGTTTACCTATTTTACTCTATTTTAGTTTTTTTAAGTATTGTGTACGTACAGTATGAACTAGTAAAATTGTAATAAAAAATTGTTCCATCAATGCTTATTATCTAAAATTTCATGATTCTTTCAAGTACTATTTTGTTGCAATAACAATAAATTTTGTTTAAAAATCGTCAGTTTATAATCCCCAAAGAAATAAATAAAAGACCAAAATTAAATAGACTTGCACTAGTCAGGGCTAAAGTTGGGCTTTACAGACAAAACATTAAAAATAGATTTTCGGTAAACCTTAAATATACTTTTGGTAAAGTCATAAAGAAAACTAGCAGAGGTTTTGGTGGAAAAAACAGTGATATTAGGTTCTCAGAATCAAATGAGTCCAAGTTCAAATCTTGGTCAAATTGAGTATCTTTTTCTATTACTTTATTTATAACTGATTGGCAGTTATTTGTCTTGTATGTATCTGTTTTAATACAGAGCAGATAATTCATAAATATAGTGATCACTGCCATTTTAATACAATTTTATTTCTCAAGGTAATCTGAAATAATCAACTGCACTTTGTAAGCCGCTAGTACAGCTCACTACTAGATGTACTGAAATAAATATAGAGCTGCAATTTTGTCACGTAAGACAAACAATAAATAATTAGTTAAATATTTGTGGACTCAGGAGCTAAAAACTATTAATGTGCTCCAAATGTTGACTGCTATGATATCATTTAATTATTTAAGATCATTGTTTGCTCTTTTATAAGGTAAGCCTATATAATGGGCAAAGAATCACTGACTGAAATGTAAATAATTTTTATAACTCATAGCTTTTTCCTTTCTGGATATCTGCTACCGCAATAAAAACAATTTTAATAATACGCACTTGAGACAAACTACATGGTTTTGACACATGAGAAATCGTATGGAAATGGTTTCAAACCCTAACGTGAACGTAATTAAATCAAGTTTGAAATCCATGTATAGATATCTCTTATTACTTTTCATGTGGAGAAACAATGTAGTTTTTTTCATGCAAGCGGAGAAGAGTTTTTCATGGAAAACATCTAATAAAGTACTACGATAGTAATATACCAGAAAACAAAGATTTTAACTTTAATTTTGGGCTCACGATAAAAATAATTTACATTTAATATTCATAACCCAGCTGACTACGATAAGAATACTGAAAACGCTCCAAAAATACTAATAGATTGTAAAAATGACATTTTTTTAAACAAACGCCTTTTTCTTGTGAATGGAGACACTAAGCAATAAACGGCTTATACCAATCAGTCAAGTGTCAAAAATTCTATAAGAAACAACTGTTAACTCGAGCTTAATAAGTACAAACTCTCGAAATAAACTGTAACAACAAATACGTGCATAACGGACTGCAACTAAGGAGAATAGCATACAGCCAGTTCTCACCATGCTATCTGCCTGAGCGCAAATAAATTTCGACCAATGAGAACTCATGCAATCTGTGACTGCTAAATTGCAAATACCTTCAAGTTACTGCAGTACCGATTTCGACACGTCTTGGTCTAAAATACGTACTGTTCCATTTCAAAACAAATACAGACTGTAAGAAAGCAAACGCCAGCAGCGCTCGTGTCAAAGTTGGTACAACCACCGTTCAGTGCCTAAGATAGTTGTGTATTAATAAGAATGGGACCGCTCAGGTTCAAAGTTTGAAATGTCAGGGGCCAAACCTTGGGCTAGTGAGAGACAAGTATAGCTTGAACTCTTTAGCGTCAAAAGTTGGCTATAGTAAAGCCGAAGAATGTATCATATACCCGTACACAAGTTGTTAGTAATTATATATATCTTACTATAGTATATAGTTGTTTAATGTTGGGCAGTCTCAATTCCACTCCCACGTCCCCCCGCGTCCCCTCACAAAAAAAAACTTTGTTATAAATAGCTCCCCAACAAAACAAAATTAACTTTGTTCGTTTTATGCGTGATGCGTGACGACGTAGCGGAAAAATTAGGCAGTCTCACATTTAGTTCATGCCCTATGCCCCCTAACATCATTACTACGTACCACACATCGTTATCAGTCTATTTTTCCAGTATGAGACAAATAGACACACTTTACACTTAAAAAATATTTATGCAGAAAATTCTATCATTTATTAATTGAACGTATAAGTTATCTTAACTTATTAAATTAAATTCATATATGTAGAATACAACCAAATATATTTATTTTTACGAACTGTAATACTTAATAGTTTATATTTAATAGGTTAAAAGTGTAGGCCACGTTATACTTTTTTTGTTTGTATTATTTGAGTACTATGTAATTTCCAATGATCGAAGCATATATTTTTATAACATGATAAAAATAAATGCATCATCTAAAAATTTATATAACATTAATAATGTAAGCCATGGAAGTTTACTGAATGTCGAAGGATTTTCCACTAAAATTTTTAGAAAATAATACATTTCTTTATGTTCAAAGTTTTTACCAGAATTTCACAAGAATTCAGATTTACTTTTGATTTAAAAAAAAAAACATGAACACTTTATATTTTACATACATGGCCTCTATTTATTGACTATATACCTATATACATGGCCTCTCTTTCTACTGTTTGTGCGTGGTGAAAATCGTAACGTATAATAAATATAAACGTAAAAAGTTTTAATTGACGTAATTAATTATAATAATAATACAATATAAAAAATAAGTCATAATAGATTTTAACCAATGGACCCCGAAGGAAGCCACCAGGGGTTTTGTTAAAGTCTAAGCATTATTATTCAAGAACGGGGGGTTGGCGCATGAAGCGCGTAGGGGGCGAAGCTTTACTAGTGTGTATATATATATACACACACTATATATATGCGTGTATGCGTGTGTATAGATGTGTCTGTGTGTGTTTGCGCGAGCGCGCGCAGAGGTTACTTATATGGAGAATCACATGTATGTAAGGGTAATTATGAGGACAAGAGTGAGATTATGTGGACGTCCGCGCGCACACACACACACACACACACACACACACACACACACATATATATATATA